CTGACCTGCTCTGTCTGCTCCTCCTTATTCTGGTTTCTGTGAGGCTCAAAGACGATCACTACTTTATCCGTTCTCTGTCCTCCTGAACTCCTATCATGGGGAAAGTTTTCTATTTTAATGTTTCATTCATTGTTTTTGCTCCAGTCTGTCCTGCTTACTATAAACACAATGAGTGACTCCAGACTGACTCTTTTCCCGTCAGATTAACAGAATTGATTTAGTATTTTCCTCCAAAGCAGTTGTGTTTTACTCTGTAACCACGTCTCTCTTCCTGTCAGACCCGTGAAATTGCTGCTGAATTACTGCGTAGTCTGTCTGAAATAGACCTGGACTCTATCTCAGTCGGAGTTACGCTGCCCCCTGCTGGAAATTATCCTCATTGACTCTGAATGAGCGCTAAACGCCACGACCTCTGAGGGAGGATTTTCTGTTGGATCGGAAGCAGAATCGGATTCAGTGTGTTGTTCAGTGTTCTGGCCTTAAGATCATTATCAGAAGCTGAACGTGGATGTTTTTATGTTTGTAATAAAAAGAAAAGAAATCTGATCATTTTAAGATGAATCAAAACAATCTGAGCTGATTTCAGCGTCTGGCTGATTGATGGGAGCGTCTGGGTCGGTTCCCGATCAGAGGAGGACCTCAGCTCGGGGTCTTTTGGTCACATCCGGGGCGACCAGAGACATGGTCACCAGTTTCCTTGGTTTTCAGGTTGTCAAGGTCGGCGCCAACGGGGAGGTGGAGACGGTGGAGCAGGAAGAGGGAGTGGAGCCCCACCCTGAGCAGGACGATGACGAGGATGAAGATGTTGGACAGCAGCTGCCGGATGAAGGAGACGAGCCGGTTCAGGCACCAAACAGCGACCAAAGCTGGGCTAAAGACCCAGACTATCAGCCTCCGTCTGGAGGCATCAAAAAGTCCAAAAAGGTAACGGCGTGCTCCGTCTGAAGGACCCAGGGTCTCTGCGTGAGGGAACTAAACCTTCTGCTTTTACAGGGCAAGAAGAGCCGACTGCGCTACGCTGAGGGGGACAAGGACATGGACGTCAGCGTCTACGACTTTGAGGAGGAACAGCAGGAGGGCCTTCTGTCTGAGGTCAACGCCGAGAAAGTGGTGGGCAACATGAAGCCGCCCAAGCCCACAAAGATCAAGAAGAAAGGTAAACTTTAGCTTCCCGTAGCCGACAGCCAGCAGGACGAGGAGCCGCTGCTTAACCTGTGGCTGTGATGGTCGTTCTAGGAGTGAAGAAGACGTTCCAGTGCGAGCTGTGCAGCTACACGTGTCCCCGCCGCTCCAACCTGGATCGCCACATGAAGAGCCACACCGACGAGAGGCCGCACAAGTGTCACCTGTGTGGACGAGCCTTTAGGACGGTGACTCTGCTGCGAAATCATCTGAACACGCACACAGGTGATCAGCCCCACCTGCCGCCGGCCGTCAGAGAGGAGCAGAGAAATTCAGATTCACATGAATCCTCAGCAGCTGCAGAGCAAAGAAAAGCTTTAGGAAAAACAGGCTAACAAAAGAAGCCAAACGACCCCCATTCCAAAGGGGGGGGCCACATTATGCAAGTGGATGATTTTTGCTTTAGGACTTTTTTGGTTTAGGTCTAAATGTTATAACAGGCTGAGAAATCTGTAAAATAGATCAAAAGCTTTCCTAATTAAGACATAGCTTACAAAAAAAACGGAACAATTCAGCAAATCAACCTGTCAAAAACAGGAAAGAAGGTTTAATTTCAGGGATGAATGACCTGCAGTAGCGCTCCTTTTTCCAAACAGGCTATAAAAGTCTTTGACTAAAGGAGCTGCTCAGCTCCTCTCCAGTACACTGCTTTAACAGCCTAAAAAGGAAAAAATAAACAATTTCAGGGATTCAGATTCCCCCGCAGCTGGATGACATAAGCTAGCGCCTCGTAGCAACTTGTAGGACGGCCAATAGCGAGTTTTCTTGCTGAGGGGTCAGCAACACTGCTCACCGAGACGCCTAAACATGATGTCAGCTAGCTTCCAGACTCACGCCAACTTTCTCCCCGCAGGAACTCGGCCGCACAAGTGCACCGACTGCGACATGGCGTTTGTGACCAGCGGAGAACTCGTGCGCCACCGCCGCTACAAACACACACATGAGAAACCGTTCAAGTGCTCCATGTGCGACTACGCCAGCGTGGAGGTAAGACCGGCCGCCGTCCTGCTGGACGCCCGCTGCCGAGCTCAGGTTGACGTTCCGTGTCGTCCACAGGTGAGCAAACTGAAGCGGCACATTCGCTCCCACACCGGCGAGCGGCCCTTCCAGTGCAGCCTCTGCAGCTACGCCAGCAGAGACACCTACAAGCTGAAGAGACACATGAGGACGCACTCAGGTACGCGTGAGCCTCCGGGAGTCTGAGGAAACACGGCGCCGTCTTTCTCACGTCCAAACTGTCTTTGTTTGCAGGAGAGAAGCCGTATGAATGCTACATCTGCCACGCCCGCTTCACCCAGAGCGGAACGATGAAGATGCACATCCTGCAGAAACACACGGAGAACGTGGCTAAGTTCCACTGCCCTCACTGCGACACCGTCATCGCACGCAAGAGCGACCTGGGTAAGACCCGTCGCTGCTCCCCCTCAGGCAGACGTCCCCCGTCCTCACCCTCTCTCTCCCATCCACGCAGGCGTCCATCTGAGGAAGCAGCACTCGTTCATTGAGACCGGGAGGAAGTGCCGATACTGTGACGCCGTTTTCCACGAGCGCTACGCTTTGATCCAGCATCAGAAGTCCCACAAGAACGAGAAGCGCTTCAAGTGTGACCTGTGCGACTACTGCTGCCGTCAGGTTGGTTTGCGCCGCTTTTAGCCCACAGGAAATGGTTTGTGTTCTAACGGCGCCGTCCTCCAGGAGCGCCACATGGTGATGCATCGCCGGACCCACACGGGAGAGAAGCCGTTCGCCTGCAGCCAGTGCGAGAAGACGTTCAGGCAGAAGCAGCTGCTGGACATGCACTTCAAACGCTACCACGACCCCAACTTTGTCCCCACCGCCTTCGTCTGCCCCAAGTGTAGCAAGACGTTCACGCGCAGGGTGAGGCTCACCGTCCCGTCCTCCGCACGCCGTCCGGCATCGCCCGCTCCACACTAACCCTGTCTGCTCCTTAGAACACCATGGCTCGGCATGCCGAGAACTGCAACGGCGAGGCGGAGGAGCTGGAGAACGGAGCTGTGACCCCGAAGAGGGGGAGGAGAGGGAGGAAGAGGAAGATGAGGAGCAGGAGGGATGATGACGACAGCGGTGAGTGTTTGGGCCGTCGATGAACAGCAGCGGGATGTTTCCGTGTTTACACCTTTTTCATCCCGTCATCCAGAGGAAGACGCCGCTGAACTGGACGAGTTGGAGGATGAGGACGAGGCTGAGGATGAAGCTGCCGTGCTGCAGGAGGAGGACGACCTAGAGGCCGTGGAACTAGATCAGGCTCCTGCCGTCGTCCCGCTGGTGGCCCCCGAGGAGCCCCCGGTGAAGAGGAAACGAGGCCGACCCCCGAAGAACCCCAAACCCCAGGCGGCCAGCGCACCCGGGCCCGCGGCGTCAGGTGAGCAGAGGGCGTGGAGGCACATTCACTCGCGTTTATAGTAAGCAGGAGCAAAAACAATGAAACATTAAAATAGGAAAAGTATAAAGTAGTGATCGTCTTTGAGCCTCACAGAAACCAGAATAAGGAGGAGCAGACAGAGCAGGTCAGAGCAGCGTATCTCTCTCACCTCTTTATGGAAAAAAAAAAAAAAAAATTCCCAGATCTCTCTGAGAATCACCTCTCTGCCTCAGTCACCATGGAAACCATCCCTCAGAGTTTATTGCTGCGTTTTTCTTTTCTTTACACGTAGATCATGTTATGTTTTTAATAGATGAACATTCTCTATCTGTTCTGGTTCTAGATGCTGCACAGACTTGTTAAATAGAGCTTTGCTTTATAGAATGCATTGCTGGTTTTTCTTTATTTAATAACTTTTCATAATGTGTTCAGTCAAATGTGGGAAATAGTTTTGTGTTTATAGCACAGTGACAGAAGTGAATAAAATCTGCTCACCCTGTCTAGTTGGAGCCTCTCTATACGCAGCCAGTGGGACATGGAAAAACATCGGATCAGAGACAAAAAAGTTCAGACCTTAAAACTAATGGGTATCGGATGCTTTAAACATATAAACCTCCTCTCCTTTGCAGCTGTAGTGCCGCTTCTCTGTCTTTTAAACACGTTCTCCTTTTTTATTTAATTTTTTCATTTCTGCATTAAAATCTCTAGTTCCAGTGGCGTTAAATAGGCACTTTCTGTTGTCACGGTGACTCAGTGAATCGGTGCTCCACTGATAATGGCTTTTCATACTTGTTATGGACGCACTAAACTCTGACTGGACCAAGTCAAAATTGATTGAAGTAATTGATAGCAGCTGCTGTGAAACCGAACACTCTGAGTTCCCGACTTTCAATTTAGAGTTTAGGATTTGAATCTGAGTTTGTTAAACCTGCCTTGTGAAACAGATCCCAGGCTGTTTGGTCGTCTGTCAGATTTCTGTAACGCACCAGAACCGCGGCATCACTGTAGAGCTGAGCAGTCGTCTGTGTCTTCAGCAGGCGTAGAGCTAACAGAACTGGCAGCGTTGCGAGGCAAGGGCTCAAACATGTACGGCTGGA